GCCGGGCGGCAGTCCGCGTCGCCGACCCTGAGCATCTTCCGCTTGCACGTCTCGAAGACCTCGCCCGTCTCCGTCAGCGCGCCGGTCCAGGTGCAGATCACGGCCTGCTTGTACTCCGCCTGGGGGCCCGTGCCCTTCCTCACCTCCTTGTAGCGCACGCCGGGCATGAGCACGCGGTAGCCCTCGGCGTCGAGCTCGTCGTCGCCAAAGGCCGCGGCGTCGGCGTCCTCGTCGCGCTTGCGGTGCCAGTCCGCGGCGTCGATGCCCTCGAAGTTCTTCGCCGTCACGTCCTCGACGATGGGCTCGTCGTTGTCGTAGGAGCTCATCGCGACGGCCTCGGACATTTTGCCACGAATCGAGGTCTTTCGCAGCATCTCCACAGCATCATCGACCGCATATCCTGAGGCTGCCCCGACGGTGAAGCTGCATTATTCCACCCTCCACGACACCCTGCGCGGTTCCGCCTCGCTCCGCGGCGCCATGGCGCGCCGGCGCTGGCTCGCGCCGCTCCTGGTCCTCTGCGGCGTCGTCGGCGCCGACGACGCGTCGGCGGAGATCGGCTTCGACTTCGTCATGGCGACCGTCGTCGGCGCGACGCTCGTCCAGGCGCTCGACTTCGTGAGCTCGCAGAGCACGCAGCTCGCCTACGCGTCGCGCAACGGCCTCCTCTTCAACGGGACCGTCGCCGAGACGACGACGATGAAGACGCTCATGGCCACCGCGCAGAACCTCGGCGCGCTCCCGCGCGGGACGCGGGCGCGACGCGCCCGACTTCGAAAGCTCCGATCTCGCCCGTTTCCCGCGCGTTCTCCGCTGATTTCTGGACGAGCGATTGTCCCTCGGAGCGCGCTCGACGCGCGGATCCTTTCTCGGGACGCGCGCGCGCGGAACACTCATGTTGAAGCGAACTTGAATCACCCCCCCCAGGCGAGCGCAACGTGCTCGCGATCTACGCGGGCTTCGACGCGGACCACGCGTACTACGCGTACGCCTACCTGCGCGAGGACTTTTACAAGTCGAGCGGCGCGCGCGCCGCGCACGCGGGGAACCTGACCGTGACCCTGGGCAAGAACGTCAAGGGCAAGGGGAAGCTCGACGCGGAAAAGTACGTGTCGCGCGGCCGCTGCGACGACTTCGACTACGACCTCTGCGCGGTCGCCTTCACGAGCGACGCCCTCGGCGAGCCCGTCGACGCGTTGAAGACGACGAAGTTCGACTGCACGACGACGCACTGGTTCCGGAGCTCCGTCAAGTACAAGACGCCGCGGTGGACGACGCCCTACGCGATGCCCGCGGACGTGGCCGCGGGCGTGGGCTACACCATCGCCGCGCCCCTCTTCGACGCCGAGGGCAAGCTGCGGGGCGCCGCGGGCGCGGACGTGGGCCTCAGCCGCGTGTCCGAGATCATCGCGGCGACGGCGCGGACGTGGTGGCGGGAAGACCTCGGCGCCTACGACCCCAAGGGGCTCTTCTTCTACGTCGTCGACGCCGACCTGCGCGTCGTCGCGTCGTCCGTCGGGCCCCGCGTCGCGCCGGCCGACGACCTCTTCCACTACGCGCCGAATAGTTCGAACGCGCTCGTCGCCAACGGCTCCGCGGCCTACGTCGCCGGCGTCGTCGCCGGCGATCT